TAGAGGGGGTTTCAAGCAATTTCAAAGATTAGACAAAATGTAATGCAGGGGTTGACGCAGAAACCCTATGAGAATTAACCGCTGTGACCTATCACTGATCTGAATGAGGGAAATGTATAAATAATTTTTAGCATTATACCTCTTTCTTTTTTTGTAATAATTCCAGATCATACTCACAAAAACCTTTCTAATAACTTTCAGTAATAATATTGACAAAATATTATATTATCAATTACATGTTACTGTAACTGAGTCTTTTCCTGCTTGTTTTGTGAGGTCACAAAGTTACAGGAACTGGAAATTAGCAAAGCTAAAAGCTTGCTGGTGATCACTTTGTAAAACAGACACACTTTTTGTTTCTTTGAACTTGTATAATATATTCCCTTCCTCCAAATAGAGTACAAATGTTTAGATGGCACTAAAAGCTTTTTAATGAATATTTCAGACAAGATGCATGTGAGTATTTGTTGATTAACTGGCAGTGAGTTCAGTGGTTGTCGGTGCAGTGTTTTTTTTCTCTCCAGATATTTATTGATATATAGATTGTAAAAACATTTTATACTTTTCTCCAGCCCGGGGTCGTCACATGTGGTTGCTGCAAGCCCTCCGGACGTTCCTTCGTCGAATCCGCCGGCCGCGCCATCCTCAAGCCCGCCGCCTCTGCTCACTCTACACACTGGATAGCTGGCCAATCACAGCACACCTTGCTTTTCAGACCGATGAGCTTTGTAAAAATCGACGCGTTCGAGGCGGGGCATAGAGGAGAAACAATAATGTACAGTATGTGGAAAATAATGTGTTTTTTGAACCTTAAACCGCATAAACACATTTCACTACACCAAATACACAAAATAATGTTCTTTTTAGCAACATCATATGACCCCTTTAAAAAAGTTTTTACAGCGTTTTGTTTTTGTTTCACTAAACTTTGTTCTGTGCATTCAAATTTTCATTTGTGTTCAGAGTGACTGATTGTTCTGTGCTCTCTTGAGACTTAATCAGTGGGAAAAACAGCAGTTTTAAATAGGTAAATATATATGTATACTTAAGGCAACAACATTTGTATCACATTTTGAAGTACATTCTTTATGCCCTGCGGTGAAGATAAACTGACACTCATAATTCATGTCATATCTGTCTTCACAGCAACACAAACCACTGATCTGGTTGATGATATCTTTGTAGCTTTCTGTTTGAATACTGTAACTCATTCCACATAGTTGAAGACAGGTTATAAAATGTGGCATCCTCAAACAGTTTTACACAATGTCATTTTAGACTGTAGATCTTAAAAAAAGGTTGTTGTAAATAAAAGTGTGTCAAAGTTTACCACACAATGACTGTTTGAATAATAATCTTACATGCTTGTTAATAAAGTTGCATGCTTTCACTGTGCATGGGATTTCAAGTTTTGTGAAAGTGCCCAGAATGACATTCCTTTTGGTTTAATAATTCCTTTGGCTTCTGTGAAGGACGTTATTTATTTTTACCCCTGATTTCATCATGAAGTCTGTGAAAGCAATTTTCTCAATTTTAACTGTAAGTGTCCTAATTTTCAAGCTCGTCCAAAGCAGCTTGGTGTATTATTCTTACATGCGGTTGCTCAGGCAACCTTGAGTTTCTGTATTTTCAATTGAAAACTTTTCATTCAATTCATCCTCTGCTGAATCGATCAGCTCACCTCTGGAGACTTCATACAACTAGTATTACCTTTTAGAAACATCAAATTTAGCCTTTAAGTAGCTGCTTGTGGCTTTTGTGAAATTGGTGTCAGAAGTTATGTTGAACCGAAACTTCTAATTGTCCACTTCACTCTGAAACTTTTATTTACTATAATGATAACAAAGATACTGTGATGTTTCTCGTTTTGGCTTATGTTCTACATCTTTGACTTAAACAAACAATTTATACAATTTACATATGTCATCTTTTTTGGTCATTTATCATTCTACAGTTTTCATAAACATATCTCAAATAATATTGTTTAGTCACGCATTCCCTTTGTCTTTTTAAAATCAGTTATATGTGGTAATTTGATTAATAATTTCATTATTAATTTGCTTAAAGTATCTGTTTTGTAAGTATTAGAAACATTGAACCAATGTAACCTTATACATGAGGTATACATTTTATGCAAATTTACTTTTATACTATTCTATTGTCAGTTAAATTTCTGTTTTGAATTAGTACCTCAAATATAAACTTGATTTAATCTCTTTTGCACCATATCAGAGCATACGTCTTCCATAACAGCTATGTACCAGATTTTATGACTAGCAATATTAGTTTATTTTGCCCTTATTTGTGAATATTGATTTTGACAGCTATACTAAGTTGTAATATGACTGAATTTCCCCTGCTGTGCATGAGATTATTTCTTCTGAGAGTAAGGGTACAGTTTGGTTTTTATTGGGGTTCTTTTTCCGTTTTTAAGGGAAATTGAATATGACACCTTATAAAATGTACAAGGCAAATATTTTATTTTACACCAAACCTCAGTGGATGTTTGGACAGGTGAAAAGTCATTCAGTGTCTCATGTAAATCTAAAAAGTGCTGCCAGGATTATTTATAAGAGCTGTGTGAATTCAAGGTGTGAATTTTGAGTCTTCCTGCAATTCTCATTTGAAATCTTAATTTCCCTTTTCCTCATTTAACATCTAGATTCTAATTGTTTGAGACATATAGGTGACAGGTGACCCTTTTTTCTCTTGGTGTGAAACAAATAACAGTTGACATGACTGATGTTCATACGCATCCATTAGTAAAACTTCATACAGAATTCTTCATAATGATTTATTTCAAAATCAACATGTAAGGGATTAAATCAAGTCAATATACAAACTTACAAAAGAAAGAACAACAGATGTGCTTTAAGCTGCCATTCACACAGAAGTAATCTTCACATTAAGTGGGAAAAATGAGTGGAAGGACGGTATATGCTACAGTTACTTATGTTACAGTGTTGAGAATATTGGCAATTTGATGGAATATATATATACAAAATAGCTACCCTTAGTTTTTCCATTTAATCCTGGAAATGGTTTATTTATTGGCATCACCGCATTGGGACATTTTGAGTGAGAAAAGCTTTGTGTCTGTTTTCATTTTCTAAATGTTGAAAAATATTCATGAATAATATGGCTTTAACCACATTCTGAAATGGCCCTTTTCAAAGAGTGCATGATATTTTTGCAAGATGTACTGTACTGGCAGTGGGGCTATAACCCCTCATCCTGTACACAGACTCCTGTGGAGGCACAGAGTATATAGAGGCATTATGTTTCCTTATAGATTTTGTGCCTCAGGGTTGTGTTTGTGAGGTCTGGTTCTTTTAACGGCTCAACATTATGAAATTGGCAGTAATGTAACAAATTCCATACACTAATTTTCTTTGGAGAGGTACAAGGCATTGACATACTTTGCCATATGTTTGGTGTTCACATTATGTGTATTCCTAGACAAAACAGTTGTCCAAGGGTAACATGAGACACACTTAGGTGTTGAAAATTCTTGATTAATTTTTCACTTGAGATGTCTTTTCTGGTTAAATTTTTTTGTGCCTCGATTTCAAAATCAGATATTTATAAATTGTTTTAGTTTTTTAAATGTATCTATTGACATATTTATTATTATACATATCAGTTATTCAGCTGCTGTTGGTGTTTAACTGAATAATCAATCTGACTGTTCTTAAACATAGTTGTCAAATATTCCAAAAAAATATAAAATAAACCCACTCAAAATAAAAAAAAATATATGATGCTGAAGATAGATGTTTAATAAATTTACAGCAATACAGTCATAACTACGTCTAAACACAGAAAACATTAGGCACTAGAACTATTCACTATGTAATGGGTGTCATTCAGAATCTTTTTTTTTTTTTTTGTCAATGTCACAAGGGGTTATAAAGTGCATTGTTATATATAGGTAGTCATTTCATCAATTAGTTCTGCCTCAAGGTCTACTTCAGATGTTCCACTAACACTGCTGTTATTTTTTTTTAAAGATTATCAGGCCTACCATGCTTTAAATTCAGTTTTTCATCATTGAATGAATGAATTGACTCGTTAGTACTTGCAGAACACTGCTTTAAATTCACTAACCTCTTTTTTCTTTGTTAACCGATGTCTCTAATGTCTCTGTTCATGACATAACTCTGCTGAACGTGGAGCAACATTTGGTATGTTGTGACACCAAGCTCCTTACGCACACTCTGATCTGTCAATTAACATTTGCAAGCACAGATGTTTTGGTATCTGCAGAACATTGCAAAATACTTTCTATCGGTGTTCGAATGCCTTCCATTAAGCCTATTACATAAAGTCATTCAAAAACCATTTGGGTAATTGTTCATGTTTGTTTTGCAAAGTAACCCTGCCTTTCCAAGAATAAAAACAAGTGACTCTTTTTTTATATGCCATATAACTTTTACATGCAGTTTATGCTGTTACAGAAATCTTTTTTTTTTTTTTTTTTGTCAATGTCACAAGGGGTTATAAAGTGCATTGTTATATATAGGTAGTCATTTCATCAATTAGTTCTGCCTCAAGGTCTACTTCAGATGTTCCACTAACACTGCTGTTATTTTTTTTTAAAGATTATCAGGCCTACCATGCTTTAAATTCAGTTTTTCATCATTGAATGAATGAATTGACTCGTTAGTACTTGCAGAACACTGCTTTAAATTCACTAACCTCTTTTTTCTTTGTTAACCGATGTCTCTAATGTCTCTGTTCATGACATAACTCTGCTGAACGTGGAGCAACATTTGGTATGTTGTGACACCAAGCTCCTTACGCACACTCTGATCTGTCAATTAACATTTGCAAGCACAGATGTTTTGGTATCTGCAGAACATTGCAAAATACTTTCTATCGGTGTTCGAATGCCTTCCATTAAGCCTATTACATAAAGTCATTCAAAAACCATTTGGGTAATTGTTCATGTTTGTTTTGCAAAGTAACCCTGCCTTTCCAAGAATAAAAACAAGTGACTCTTTTTTTATATGCCATATAACTTTTACATGCAGTTTATGCTGTTACAGATATCTAAGTTATGAACTAGTAAAATACATAACGAAATAGTTGAAAATCAATGCCCTTATTTTTCTGTCAAAGCACTTGCATGCATATGAGTTGTCAGAACTTCAGTCCTGCTAATGTGAAGTCACATATTCTTTTACATCTGAGATTAAAATATATTTCAGAGTTTTGAATGTTTGCTCCAAAATACCTCAGCATCTCAATGCCGTTCTGCCTAACCCAACATAACACAACAAACACGGAGCAAACACGACTCCAAAAATATCTCTTTACTGTTTTTAAGACGATATATAAAAAACATTGTATATACATATCATACGTAAAAAAAACACAGTCATACATATATAATTGCACTTGGCGCTAACAGAGGAGACTACATGGATGGCGATGATGGTCTGGTGGTAATTTAATGGGGATGCATATTTGGCAGGTTAAGTGCTGGGTCAGCGAGCATGCCAGAGGACTATATGGTACATATCTGTGACGGTGGGCTGTCAGATTCTCTTGTCATCTGGCAGACTTCTTAGCTCTGCTGTTGTTGGGCTTTTTTCATTCTGCAGTGAAGAGAAGCAAAACATCAGAATGAGAAAACTGTCATACCGTAATGCTGGAGAATGTAATGACTATTTATTTTAATTAAATGTGTTCATAACTTGTTAAGAGAAGCAGGACATTTTTAAATAGCATGAATCTCCACAGTTATTACAACAATAAACCTAAATTTTGCTTCTGGCAAGAATGTAACAGACCTTTCTGTACTTTTATAGGCAATTTCTATTAGTAACTGCATGCTGTTAGCTTTAATTGTGCTGAAGCGGCAATTTGTTAAAAAAAAAAAAAGCACCCAGAAACCATGAAAAATCCTCTATTTTCAATGAGTATCGTGTAATGTTTGAGCCACTTATGTCACCAAACTGAATAATGATTGTTTAATGGAAAAAAAAAATTTGTTTATTTATTTATTTGCTAATTTGGCCTAAAAGGGCTTACTTACAGTTGTCTCAGTATATTAGGTTTGACGGGTGTGTTTTTTTTAATTACACACTTCAACTTTTTTTTCAAGTTTATATGAGTCACATGACCAGAATGTCTAAGCTGATGGATCTGTTCTGTGGCTCACTGACCAGAGGTGTTGCAGATGGCAGCAACCTCCCTCACTACCTGCAGATGTACAACTTCCTTTTTCCCTTATTGAGCTGTACTTATGACCGCAGAGTATGTGCTCATTAGCATCTAGCGGCCATTCATGGGTGTTCAGCCCCAAGGAGCCATCATTCATCTCTGGCTATGAGTGTTTTGTTGTGCAGACCGGACCGTTTACACTTTTCTGTCCCTTAGACAGTGATTACTGTTTAACAGGTACAAACACACCAATAACAGTACCAGCTACTGGTTTGCCATACATCCATAAGTCCTTTTATATTGGCCACCCCAAATTCAGTGAGTGTGCATGACAATCTTACAGCTGGCAGTGAAATGAAAGACGAAGGCAACCAGTCCCCTGATCTAATACATCAAGCTCATGATCAGATGTGGGAAAATGTCTTTCTTCTCATGATTCAGTACAACAAAAGCTTGTTTTGCTTTGTTTAGACGTTTACGATAAAGATCAGCGGAGCAACTATTAAGGCAAGGCCACAAAGCCCGAACATGTTTTTCATTTGCTCGGCAGTAGCTGCTAATCTTGCACATCAACTTAAGATAAATATTTCAGAGCACTATAAGCGGACAGAAACAATCAAAAGAAATCTGAGAAACAAACTGGAAATGGCTTTCATGAGCATGTAGAGATATGTGAGAAACGAGAAAGACCAGTGTTTTAATGTATGGGTGACTTTTTGTCAGCAGAGACTATTACATAAACTATATTTGATTCAGTGCACCATTTCATCTGGGATAAAGTAATTATAGTTTGGTTAACTGGAATAAAAGTGACTCTGTAAGGCCATTCATGATGCATTTGAGAACAAGACCCTGTATTTCCTATCCCATTTCTCCGCTCCTATTTGTCAAGAGGGTTTCCTTACTTGTTCATGGCATTCTTCAGGTACTGTTGCAGCCATTTGGTCTCTGGGTTAATGCACACCTCCTTGTTGTTCTTCAGTTTGGCACTGCAGGGGAAAAATGCAAGTTTTCATTATATGTTATTTGAATATATAGATATGATATCTTGGTGCTGAATTTTGAACTTTTTAGACATTCAGATTGCAGTATAAGAAATCAATCATTACTAAGTATAAAGCTACAAGGGCCCATTGTGAGTAGATTTTGAATGCAGTACAATAGAAACCCCATAGTCAGCATCAGCCATACAATAGCAGAACAGTTGTGCATTCAAACTCAGCCAAGCAGTTAGTTCTCAGTCACTCCTCTCTCTAGTAAGTGATATTACACTGCAATCTCTCATCACCCTGAGTACTCTTTTTCTGCATTTGCGTTCCCGTCTTCCCTACAGGTCTTAACAGATTGTCAGATTGTTATCAAACTCTTCCTTGTAGCTCTCAGCAAAAAGATTAGATTGTAGGTGTCTTGTCAGCACAGGTGAACCATTTGTTTTCAATTGGCTACAACTGACACAAACAAATCATTAAACTCTTTCCTATGTAAAGTAAAACCGAATCAGGTTCAAATGTCATTTTTGGGTTTTAATAATAAAAAATAACAATAAAAATGTTTTAGCAATATAAGATCAAATCAAGTTAAGCTTGACATTACTTAATATAAAAATTAATATTTTAGTACTACAAGATTGTATTTGTATTTCAATATTGAAAATCAGTTATTACTTTTTTAAAGAAAATCATTGTAGTTGAATAGGATAATAATAATTTATTATTACTATTATTATTAATACAATTTTGGGTCTGCTTTGGTTATCTGTGTTGTTGCTATAAATGCTTTCTAAGAAATTAATCTCTTTAAACCTGGGGTTTCTGGCAAATATTATAGCTCGTCACACACTCAAATGTTCTGCTGAACTTGCAGCTGTTATTTGTTGTCCTTCTCATAATCCTGTGAGTAAAACATTCCTAAAGGTCCCACAAACTAATGGCACTACATAATATAAATCTTTGAAAATTTCATGAAGATGAGAACATTGTTCAGAGACGAGGTTAGCTTTTAAAGAATGTGTCCACCATCATCATATCTGTATCATTTAAAGTAATCAGTTCGTATCTCTAATTCATGGATCTCCTCTAATTTGGTTAGCTGACTCTTTTGAAGTAGCAGCAGTTTATCAGGGCCTGGCATTTGTTGCTCTATCTCGATCTAGTCAGCAGGAGTTTGAGAGGGTCTGGACTGCGAACAGCAGGTAGTAATTACTTCACAGCAAGCCAAGGCCAACAGCAAACACTGGTAGATAGTGTTACCAGCATCACTCATCAATGCAGATTTGAAGTATCAAGAGTTCTTGAGCTCTGGGAATCAGGTTCTGATCTACTCTCCAGGGCTTTGTCTTTGTCTTTTGTGTCAATCGTTGGCCGTTTTGTGAATTTTGAGTATGACCAGCTGTTTTATTTCGCTGACCATTTGACACAGTTTAAGTCTTTGTTTACACCCTGGTGAGCATTAATGGTATGGAAAATAAGCGAGGTTTGTAATGGAATTTGACACGGCACTGCCATTAATCTTTGTTAAAAATCCAAATAAAAGCAGCTGTTTTGAACACTTCACTCAACAGAGGTGAAAACATACAGGGAGGATAGTTCTCATCAGCATGCAAGGCTATGGTGTGTGACTAAGCACATAATTTAAGTCCTTTACATGTGTGAGAAAGAGCTTGAAGACGAACTCTTTCGGACCCCTATAATGCCGTTTTCCTGTAAAAAATATAAATGCATCCATGCTTAAAGGTCCTACCCCCTCCTATAGCATTTCCCTCTGGATGTGTGCAATTGTGAGAGCCTGTCCAACAGTATAATGCCAGACAGGGGAGACCAATTCCTGCCCCATTCAGTGTCCCTTCAGTATTTGGAGATTGATTGGGTGAAGTGATGTGTTTCTGGGTCAGGCAGACACCTCATCAGAGGCAGAGCTGCCGAGCGAGTCGGAAAGAGACAGTTTAGTGTAGATACTCACATGACTTGGAAGGGGCAGTTTGGTGTGTGGAGGAACTTGAGCTCGCGAATGCTTCTCTGTGGGACTGTGTTGACTGTGGAACGGCACCAGCATCTCTCTACCAGGCTAATGGGCTTGGCTGGAGAAGAATTAAGAGAAAAAGGAAAGAGAAACTCAATTCAGGTGTTGCTGTGATGCTTTTAATTTGGTGCATGTGAGCATTGGACAAAATCATGATGAATAATGAAGTTTGATGAGAAAGTACACAAACGCAAATCACTTTTGCCTGGTATTTTAATTGAGATCACACCACAGATGTGCTTTGTAAAAGAAAACAGCATCCTTAACTAAAAATGAAACTTAAAAGATTTGGTTAATTTTCAAAATCCGTTATGTAATCATTCTAGCTCCAAAGACAATATTGCAACACTCTAATAACAACCAGCACAATTTGCTGACACACTGAAGATGCGTTGTCCTCTAATGGCTTTTCTATGAAAACTTACAAAACAAGAGATTTATTTGATAATTTTTAGCAATGTAAATTAAATTATATAATAGAGCTGTGATAGTTTGTGTTCTTTACATTTAATTGTAAATAAATATGCTTTCTAAATTCAGTTTATAATATTATAAGGTGTAAACTGGGGTAATTGTATATACTGAGACATTTGAGAGTGCATTTATAAAGCAATTCAAGTGCTTACATTTGATGAGAAATGCTTAGTGCACTGATACTTTAATACTTTATTTTTATTTTTAACTAAATGCAGATTAAACTGGCTGTATACGCGCATGTAAATACTTTATTTCAATAGCTTTCCCATTTTTGCACATTAAAGCGAGCGAGTTGTTATGGCAGTGCGGGGATTATTGTTCCATTTGGTTCAGACCTGTTAGCGCTCAAGGAAGCAGAGACTTCACAACTCGAGCAGCTTTACATTGTATGTGAAGATTGTACGGCGTACGTACGCAAATACTTTAACGGACATTGCCCACTCACAAGCCCCCAGAGGTGTGAAGTACCTGCGACTTAACGGAGCTCTATCCACGTTAGTCCACTTGTAAAATGCTAATGACATCTCTAGTAATCTATTCTTATTGTCATGTAAACGCTCGAGCCATAGTTAGAGCCGCGCGCACTGGCTCGATTGAAGTAAAGACTGGCGCTATCTCTGCGGTTCTGTTTTATCCTCTAATTTGTGGGTAATTAAGAGAAAGCAAAGAGGGCGACAAATACACACATTAATCAACGCCGTGCCAGCGGCTTTTCTGCCCTCCTGACCGCATGCGTGTCAGTTTGTTATCTGGAATATGTGGAAAATCACGTACGTTACATGAAATTAAAATATAAAACCAACTGGTGCGAATGACCCACGTGAGTTTTAGAAACAACAACTCGTAGGGTATTACATTTCTAATAAATAAAACCGTTTTGAGTTTAATAAACACTTTAAATGCAAATGCATAAATGCAATGAAATACGCGTCGTTTCACACACAGGTGCACGTTAACGTAAAACCCATTAATATTTTGAAGTTTGCAATAGTTGCAAATGTATTTGCGAATGTCTTTAATGAACGGATTGCAATCTCGCCAAAAATAGTGTACCAAACATGCATCTAAGCTTTATGCACAGTGCAAAAATAATGTAAACATTTGCAAAGTATCTGTTAAACAATAACTCACCGCTTGAAACCGGTGCATGAATGACGACCACCATCAGAGCGAATATTACGATCAGTTTCAGATCCATGTTTGCAGTGTGAAGAAGAGATCCGCACAATTTAGAATCCAGGAGCAACTGTGACAGCAGCAACTGCGTCTCTGAGTTAAATCTACGCACAGGCTCTACTCCAGACACCCCCACCGATCCCCCCACCTTCAAAAGGAGAAAGTGGGTGTTCCCACGATGATTTGTCAGCTATTGGCAGTAGGCCTACAGATAGCCTCTATTACTTTTCTGGAACCAAATTAAAGTACTCACTTTTTCAATGAAGCAGTTCTTTTATTCATGATTTATGTCATATTTGAAGTTTGGTGATGAATATTGTGACCCATGACATGATCATGCATTTATAAAACATTTTATAAATATAGTTCAAAACATGTCAAGTTTTAGAAATGTAACATTTAAAACATTTCAAGAAAAATTTGATTCAACATCAAAATGCTTTACGTGTTGGTTACACAATGACTTTGATTTGGTGTTTTTATTTATTTTGTATTTAATAATATTTTTGAACAGTTTTGCTTCAGTGCTTATTTTTCCATAATAATAAAACATGGTCACACTAGTTATGCCAAATTTGTAAAGAATTTCAGTCTTTTAATAGATTTTTTTACAGCCTCTTAGTTGAACTGTCTAGACATTTTTACAGAAATCCCACAAAAATTATTCAGAAATTGAAAACATATTCATCATAAAAGGATAGTAATTCATATGCATTGCATTTCTTAAAAGGGTCATATGATGCGATTTAAATTTTCCCTTCTCTTTGGAGCGTTACAAGCTCTTGGTGCATAAAGAAGATCTGTAAAGTTGCAAAGACTAAAGTCTCAAATCCAAAGAGATATTCTTTATAAAAGTTAAGAGTCAACCACGCCTACCTAAAACGGCTTGTTCTAACACGCCCCCACATGTCTACGTCACGATGTGGGAAGATTTGCATAATGCCGCCCAAATGTTCACACAAAGAAAGAAGGCATAACTTTTATTCTCGCTGTAGTATTGTTGCTGCCGCCATGACATGAAGGCGATGTGTGATTCGTTGTGAAAGCGAAACTACTTTGTTTGGCCTTCCAAAAGGGGACGATATCCGCTTCGTCATGCCTAGAGCTGATCCGTGCTGGTCGCTGAGGGAATACATCAACTTCGCGCTGTGGATCGCCGGATCAGCTTTCACCGTGGACGAAGCAGAGTCCAGCCCGGGGTTGTCACATGTGGTTGCCGTAAGCCCACTGGCCGCTCCTTCGTCGAATCCGCCGGCCGCTCCGTTCTCAAGCCTGCCCACCACCGCTCACTCTAGCCGCCGGCCTCCTCTCACTCTAGCCCGCACTGGATAGCTGGCCAATCAGAACACACCTCGCTTTTCAGAACGATGAGCTTTGTAAAAATCGACGCGTTTCAGAAAGGCGGGGCATAGAGGAGAAACAATAATGTACAGTATGTGGAAAATAATGTGTTTTTTGAACTTTAAACTGCATAAACATATTTCATTACACCAAATACACAAAATAATGTTCTTTCAAATAACATCATATGACCCCTTTAATGCATTTTACTTGCTATATTAGTCATGTCATTGACCTTTACATTTCTCAAGACTTCATGTACTTGCATTGTGTTTTCAGAGTTTCATTATGCACTTCTTTATTTTCCTGAATTCAGCCACAGATCCCACCAAACTACTCACAGAGTTTACCATGACTAAAGGCAAACAGATGCAGACCTCTGCTTTTCCAAGTTCTATAGACTGAAGTAGTCCAGTTTACATAAATACTGATTCGCAGCTTATGTTCATAATGACTGGTTTGGAAATGAATAAATTGTATCCCTTGTATTAGCAAAATAAACAAATAGTCATGCAAAATGTAATTTAAATAAATATATCTGTGTTATTGTTTCATCTTACTCCTAAGAAGAAACAGAGAGAAAGTGAAAAAGGGAGAGCAAACAATTAGTTTTATATTGGGCCAGAACTTTCCACCAAGCCTTCCAGTTAAATCAGAGTGGGGTGACATTGATGGGGAGGGGGTGTATTAGTTTGTATAACAGGACACAGATGTGTTCTCAGTTTCCAAGGATATAGCTATGTCCCACTAGACTCTTGTCCTGTAACGAAGCTCCAGAGGAGAGGGGTGAGCTCTCATGTAATAGGACTCTAAACAGACCCAGCTCACCGGGTCAAACCTGCTGCTCAGTGGCCCATGTGTGCCAGCAGTGCAATGAGGGGTACAAGTGTTGGCATGCATTTAATCACACGCTCACAGTCAATTACCCTGACACATTAGTAAGTGAAGGGGCAGTCCAGATTTTATGTCAGACTGACTTTTTTTTGTTTTGTTTTTAGTTCAAACTTAAGACGTTTTAGCTTGTATATCTAATTTTAAAGAATGTGGAAAGATAGGAATAAACAATATTGGACATTATTTTAAAGCTTTTAAATGTTTGTCTCTATTTTATTGCTGTCATTCTAAGTTTTAGTTACTGTGTGTTTAAACTAACTTTTTAATGCCTTTAAAGTCTTTGAGTGCTCAGCTTTCCTCTCTTCAAAAGCCCGGAGGTGAATGCAGATGTCATTTTACAAGGTGCCACTGGTGGGAGAATTCACACCCACCCTGAGATTCTGTAGGCACATTCCCAGTTGGCCAATGGATAACAAGAGATGGAAGCAGAAAGTTCTATAGTTTTCACTTCAATTGTATAGCCTCGTCAGATCAAGAGTCCTAAATTTATCTACAAAACTCAATGTCTTAAAGGTGCAGTAGGAGATCTTGGAAAATGCTAACTTTAGCCTGATAGCACTGAAAGCGAACATCCAACCCTCCCTGCAATCGCCGTCCAAAGCCACGCCCCCTGAACGCATATACACTGACAGACCACAATACCAGAGACAACATTACAATAGGCTACATCAGCAGTTCCCAATTCCTGTCCTCGCGCCCTCCTGCTCTGCACATTTCATATGTATCTCTTATCACGTGCAACGTTTGTTCTATTCGACAGTAAGTGCCCTGGGAAGTGTACATCACCGGATATTCCGCCATGATTCCAGTTTGAAGTGAGAGTATATGTTCCATACAAAGGGCATTAAAATGTGCGAAATGTGAATTTAAATAGTATTTATTTATAGAGGTAAATTATGTCACACTTCACACTTCTCTAGTAAGTTTTGTCTATGTGTGAAGATGCTGCGCAGCGCAAATCCGTGAATGAATGTTCAGAAGTGAAGTAAACTTCAGCGGATTTCCCTTGCGAATTGGGAACCACTGGGCTACATCATGTGTCATTAACCGGTAAGAAAACTTTATAGTACAGTTAGTAAAAGTACTACAATACCATGAAGGAAGATCGGCTTGTTGATGTTTGTCTGCCATTCTCGCTCTGTCTGCACAGCATGCATGAACGCACTGATGACGTATCCTGTCTGCACGAACAGGGTGCGCAGAGGTATGCTAATACATATGTTGACAGGCAGGTAGGAAAGCCAGTTAAAACGCTCGGACCGAGCATTTTGATTGGACGAACATTTCTTGGTCCTACGCCTTCCACAGAATATATAAATACATATAAATACATTTAGATCACTTAACTTAATGATTGCTATCGGGATGTGAAGAGACTTTCAACCAGCATAACAAAAAACAATCACCTATTGCACTTTTAATGCTCAGTCAGCATCTGAAGGGAAGATCCAAATGGAAACAAAGTATTTTGTTATTCTGAATGAGCCTGCTTTGTTTTTCTAGTCTCACTTTTTAACAACATATTCCACCTTTTACCCACCTGTTGGTTATTTGTATGCTTTTAGTACGTGTAAATCAGTCCAAATTGTGTCTCATAAACAGTTAGGGCCATATCATCCAGTATAATCTTTTAATTAGTATAATCAGTTCGAAAAGGATGTATATAGTGTAGTGTAGTTATTTTTTTTTTATTAACTACATTAAAAAAAAGGTGTACACAAATTATCACTCAGAATTTGCTCAAAATTCACTCAAACAATTACAAATGAATGGCAAGTAACACACTGAATAAAATGTATTGAATTAGAAAAACTGAAATTGTATTTTTCTTGTAAAATGTACTCCAAGTCGAAATTTTTTTTTTACAGTGTAGTCCACTCATAAATAATACAATCTCTACATATCGAAACATATTTATAAGTTTATACATATCTGAAGGAAACCATCAGAAATGTTTAAGGCATTATTGTGTTTGGTTTGTAGACCAGCCTTGTGTTCTTGAATAATAGCAGATGGATTTGCTTTGCGATGGTAACATGGTTTAGTTTGCATAGAAACAATATAACCTTTTTTTTTTGGAAGTGGAATGAAGTGATTGTACTGAAGTGGGTCACCAGAATGAACTCTTAAACTACTTTTTCTGAATGTGCTGTCTACAAGCATTGTATCTTCAAGATTTCATTTGTTAAAAAAATATGTTAAAATCATTAGAATCTCATTACTTACAATAGAGCATTTCAAAGCCATGGAATAAGAATATTCATTAAGTAATTTTGGATTAAAGCTCATTAACCCTTTTTATTATCATCTGACTGTAATGAGGGAAGTTCCATTTACAAGAGGTGTCAGGTCATCCTCAGATCTTGCCCCATCCTAGTCGCCCCCCACATGGAGTGTTGGGGGTCTTGCTGTGGAGCACCCCTGAGTTAAGTAAACATGCAGCCGACAGGGGAAATCAGAAGTGTTATCATTGACACGAGAAGAGCCTTCTAGGGTCTAAATCCAGCCAGCAGACTCCATGCCCCCCATATGCCTGCAGAGTGATGGAGTCTCATCCAGACATACCAGCCACCAGGGTGACCATATCTATGCCAATGTTGTGTTTAACAAAATTTGTTTGTATTGAAACAATTGACCCAATCTAAGTTGCTAACTGCTGGAGCTTTGTAGTTTTAATTCAGCTTCATAGTATTGTTTTGGCTAAAAGACATTCTGTTTTTAATGCATTCTTTACGGCTCATATTATTCTGTTCCGTTCCATCAGTCTTGCCAAAAGACTAAAAAAAAATCTCTGTATGGAACTCATAATGTCAAACCTCCTAAAAGAGCACAATGATTTTGAACCCATAATTGAACATTTGAG